GAAATCCAACCTCATGGCCCACGTCAATCGCCAGTCACTGTCGAAGAATGAGGAGATGGCAGGGATTCCGAGACAAGAAAAACCAACATTTTATTTGTCAGAGACCTACAATCCCTCCCTACCTTCAGTTGAAATTGATGAACCGGCGATTTTGGGCCCAGACATCTTTAAGTTGGACCTCCGGGAGTGAGTTGGTTGTGGCTGCTGTGTTTCGAAACTGTTTTGAACCAATTATCGTAGTCGTGTTTCAGGATCACCTCGATGGCAGTTTTAAGCCAACACACCCCCATAATGGTCACACATGGACGTCTGATAAGCCTAAGACTCGCCAGGCGGTTACTTTTGTATAGCCCACTCAAGAGCATCACCAGAAGTCAGATATGGGAGAAAGTTTCAAGGAGTAGGTATACTGAAACAGAGTTTTCGTGCTTTTCAAACAGTGACGCTGTGTGCAAAATCAGTTTGCCTGGCAAACGACATCAGGAGTAGAAGGGATGAGGATCTGTAGTGAAGCGATTGAACGCCTTAAAAGTTGACAGCCCAGTCATTTAGAGAAGTTGAGTACAGTTACGCATTATGAACAGGATCCGTCGAATTAGTTATCGGCGAAGGGGCCCAGTGTGCTGGCGTTAGAAGCTTTCTGTTTTTAACCGAGCAGGCCCGCATCAGACTTGCGTGAACGTCACCAACCTGACTACGGAAGACAACCTAAATGCGACCCCTGCTGCTGAACTTTAAACATTGCAGGAGGACGTTGGAATTTAGGAAGAGGCATTATGCAGGTGTGATCATGGCATGTGGATCTACAAGAATACAGGTTGTGCACGGGAACATGCATCCCCCGTATCCCAGGTGACCTTGTGCTGAATGACAGGATTAGGATTGAACTTGGGCCACGGGAATAGGTGCTCCTTGGAATTCAGCATAAGGTCCAACCTTGCTTGCAACCTATCCCACATTCACAAAGGCTAGCCTATTGTCGCGTGAAGCTACACTTTTTGGTTTGATTGTAATCGACTATACGAGCTAAATTAACTGTAGCTACTAAAAATCCTACGGTTAACTAACTTTTGCATCATTGCTCGTCCGTTGCACCCCGTCCTCCAGGCGAGATGGGCTGCACCTGTTTTCTCTTCTCTTTGAGAATTTTGTATTCCACAGTTAAATCGATGTACCCGGTAACGCATGTCTCATCTGAGTGTATTGTCTGTCAGAATTCTGAGTCTTTATGTGCTGGATGTTAAGGGACCTCGATAACAGTATGAAACGTTCTCTTCCCGTTTCCCCTTCCTCAAGCTCCAGCTCGCCTCCTGCCGCTGTAGATGTGATCTTCGTCAACGGCATGCTAGGCAGTGTGTTCCACACCTGGCGCCAGCACGACCTGGCGGGAAGTAAGAGCGAACTGCCCGCATCGACTGTTTCTGTGCCTTCAACCGGTGAACGGGTTAACTGTTGGCCACGCGTAAGTAGCCCATTGCTACTGTCGCTTTCGCTTCGCCTTTTTTTACACGGTGCCTTTTCTCAGCGCATGTTATACCTGTCCTGTAGCATTTGCAGTTCTTCTTGGAGAAAATCATGTGTGTTCCCTGTTGCCTGCTCTTCTATTACTTTTACCCAATTCAGCAGTTGGTCTGTCGCAAACAGCGAGGGCCACCACTACCACGGCGGCGGCGTTCTGACAACTTATGTCTGAACTGGGTTTCACACCTATTTTATTCCTTTCTGGGTGTGGGCGCAGGGGCTGGTAAAACTAAATCGCCCTCCACACATATTCTGGTTCTTGCATGCTTCTAATAGGCCATGCTTCGAATAGGGTTGAGGATCTGTCAATGACGTGAGTTGTCATGAAAACCACCCCAAGAAGGCAGCATTGCAGCCTGACCCTCAGCCTGAACAAGGGCGGAGCTACCCGTTTTTTTGCAGTCCTTCAAGCCGCGCCTCTTAGCTCCTTATGATAGTTAACCATGTGAGGAGGGACGACAGAGAATGTGGGTAGATTACTGCAGTACTGTTTCGGGCTGATTGTGCCTTCATTCAACCAATCATAACCCTGACCAATAGCTGGGACCAGAAACACAAACGTGCACACAGACGCATCTGGCGCAGTTGATCCACCACTGGGGTCCACCAGATGGGTCATGAGCCCTTTATCGAACCAGTGCCTCGCCACCTGCCATTGTCTGTCACTGTTATTATGACTTGGCCGACTTCAGCCTGGTAATTGGTTGCCTTTTCGTGACCTTTGCCACCTATACGGAGCTTGTTTGCTTTGTGAAGCCAATAGATCGGTGTGCGCGCATTCCTGATTGAGTTAACCATGTCTTAGATTGTTTGGGTGGAAAAATAATCGTTGGATTCCTCACTCTTGATCACACTCCCTTATCTCCGATTTACCAGTGGCCAGTCTTGCTAAACCCTAGTGGATTGGGCGCAGTTGCTGGTGTAAGGTAAAACCTCTCTACTTGCATTCAGTATACTGGTTGTAGGTGATCATTTAGCCACTCTTGTCCGTTTAATGTAGTCTAACAGCGGCCACATTTTCCGGTCTAAATAAACAACTTTCTCTAAAGTGGCAATCATATGAGAAACGCCTTGTTCCTTTAAGTCGATGTGTTGCTCTCAACCAAAAGTTTTGTTTCTCCGGCAACTCTAAGTTTACACTGGTAACTGCCATGGTATTCGGTTGTTTCTAGCGCACCGTCTGGGTGCCAAATTGTAGAACCACTCAGCAAAGTGCGACTTATAAATTGTTCCATGTTGGACGACGACCTTTTACTATGTCGGTCGGCGGTCCAAGGACCGACAGTATGCAGGCATGAGTTTAACTCTCGTTTTTTCGTAGACGACTGTCTGTGGGATCGACCCCTTAGCGAATTTACTTATGGTGCAAATTATAGTGATGATCCATCTACCTTCCTGACTACGCCTTTAATTGTGATATAGATCGTTTTTGTTCGGTGTACCTCTTATGAAGTTAAGAATACACAAGAAAACGGATTTCGAAAATGAGAGAGTTGCGAGGTTTTAATACCCAATCTGAACAATCTGTTCAAAATCATATTCCACTGACTTCAGTCGGAATAGAGTGAGTCATGGAATTTTGAGACTCTCAGTGGCGTTATCCAACTATGGGGAGTTGTTAAATCAAGACGTGAAACGGCGTGTCTGATGATTTCGCCATCCAAGTGAACAACGTACTAAATAATACAGTTCTGGCCAGGCTCCCGATTACTTCTGCGTCTGACTTTCTTTCCGCATTTCCCAGGTGTTTAAGCGGGAATGGGGAGCATTTTACGACTGTTTCTGTGAACCGACGGAACCGAACAGATCTAACCGCTCACCGACGAACAGTGGCTTGGTAGCTTAGGTACCCATTATTGACTTCGTCGGACAGTGTGTCAAGTCATGCATCATCGCTTTTAATTTTTTTGAAAAAGCAGGTTGTTGGCTTAGATACCGGCCCTATTACTCAACAAAGTAGCGCATTCTTCAGTCACTTACATTTTGTACAGTTTTAACCACCGTTGCTAATGACTTTTCTGTACCTATTTTGTTTGCGAATTTGCCCTGAATAGAACCAGACTAGCGTAAGATTACAATTTCAGTGTACTTGTCTGTTCAGGCCTGGCTCAGCAAGGAGTTCCCTCAGGCGCGTATTCTCGGTGTGAATGCCAATCTGAAGCCTTTTGTGTGGAATCCAATGTGTCCTGCAGATCGAATTAAGTGCGTTCCGTTCTACTTTCCTATTATTCGAAGTTTACCTCTGTGATTGTGTTCAGATAGTTAAATCACGGACTGGAAGGCATATGATCCTTGTCAGCTCTATGAATGAAATTTCGCTCAGGGCCTTACTCCCAACGGCGATTCTGCAGTCGCGTGAGCTGTGCTCTCCGCGCGTCAATTGTGAGATCGGTTCTACCGTCTTCTCCCTGTGTGCTTCGCAGATATTCGAGCCTGTATTGTTTACTGACAACGTTCTTGGCCAAAATACTAACCCGCATAATCAGGTGATGGACTCCCATCACACCACTTTTCACGGATCCGACTACATTTATGGCTTTGGTTGTTACCATTGTCTGTGATATCGAGTAAACAATTGTCACATATTACATGAAATCCTGCAGTGTGTCTTCAGCTGAGTCTGCCAGTCTCGTTACTTGATAAATTAATCACTCACTTTGTAAAAGGGCAAACATTTCATGTGAATGCGAGCAGCCAGACCGGCAGCGAGCTCAGACGCCACCGATCGACCGCTCAGCGTCCTTCCAGGACCCTGGCCAATGATGATTACTGTTGAGCACAACGCGTGACCTACCGTATTCCCTAGTTGCGCCTTTGAACGCGAATATCAGTGCTTGCATGACCCACCATGGTCTCGTTGGCTTGCGTGCGTTTTCAGTCCTAATGGTTTATTGTTTTCTTCTGTTATTTCAGCCGCCGAATTGACCAACGTGCGCAGGACATCCTCCAACAGCTCGTTTTGGCCGGCGTCGGACAGCGTCCAATAATCTGGATTTCACACTCTGCAGGAGGTGAGAGCTTCAGTCACGTACATTTTAGTTCCTCTCCTCTTTGCAACCCTTCCGTTTTCCCTCAAGGATTTCATAGTCTTTTGCTTACACGCCTTGTGCAATTGGTGCTGGTATGGGACGTCATCCATTACATTTCCAGTATGTCTACAATTGATAGCATGCTCTCCTGGGCACTAACTGACTAACTTGCCCATTTACGAACTAGTTCGCCTCCTATCCCTACCTCTAGGACGACCACTTTTTGTCTATTTTTAATGCATATCTTTCAGGGATTTTGAAATGCATGAGCTCTGGTAAATGGTCTATGCTTGCCAACCGCTTGCTTTCGCCTTAGTCCTGACAGTTTGCTACCTGTTCGCAGGGCACCAGCGTTATCGAACATCGGAATAAAACTTCCTTCTGTTATTTTTCTTGTCAAATCACCTACCTTAAAATGCCTCTTTCCTGATCGTGTAAATTAAACGTCTCATAAAGGCATAACATACCGCATGCGGACGACAAATAGGTTTTCTTCACCGTCTCTAAAAGAGTACAGAATCGGTCTTGTGCTTCAGTCGACTGCTGCCGTCCACGTCAGGTATAAACCGTACCTCACCTGTGTTAGAATCTAAATAAGGAAGCAGTGGCGTCTGGATGTATGATCCCTCCCCCCTCGTTGATGATGGAAGAAGTTGAAAGTCCGTTGGGTGAAACCTTGTGCGGATCAGTGCGCCCTGCTGTCGAGCCGTCTTGCACAGATTTGCAAGTCTCCCCTTGATGGCGCAAACAAGATAGGTGCCGTGGTAAACTCCGGACACACATTCAGCCGATTAAGAGGGTTCCTTCTAGCCCAGTTCTTTATTTGCCTCCTTCGTTCGACAAAAAACTACGGTACTGCATTCTGAAGGTAATACGCAAGATTTTTTGAGTTATGGCTCTTCATAATCTGTCATTTACGCACCTAATTAGATGTTCCCTACTGTCGTCTTTTCTGAGCATACCAATTTTTGGACGACTAGAATAATCACAACGAACTTAACGCTTAAGAGCAGGTACATTCCCACTGTTACACTTCCGGACACGACTGCATATCTCATTATCTCTGTGGCTGTCAATGCTTCTCGTCACCTGATCATCGCCACCATCGCTTCGTTGTAAATATGCTTCTTTCATCACTCACAGGCATTTTAACCAAGGAGCTTTTACGGATAGCTGCCACAGGCGCGGACAACTTATTAGCATGCACCCAGCCCAATCTCCCCTTGCGGCCAGCCTCCGATCCCGACGGGCTCGCATCAAACGCCAGCCCTCACAGCAGTACCCCTTGCTCCCGACAACCGCAGAAGTCCATGCCCATGTTGTATACTGGACTCGCTACTGAGAATCGACAGATCAACTTTCACGAGGGCCCCATTCCAACCAAGTCCTCCATGCCCACGCAGAATAACGCCTCTGACTACGCCGCCAGTGTTCAGAGTGAGGACGCGGTGACTACGAGTTCGCCACCGTCCGTGGTCAGCTCTGCGAATCAGATTTCAAATAATACCTGTGGAATAGTCTTTCTTAGCACCCCCCATAGAGGCAACTACTCCCTCATGTTTC